TGGGGAATTCCTTGGTGACTTGCTTGATGTTGCCGGATACTGTAAGTTTGCTGTGGGGGGGAGGGAGCGTGAGATATGAAGGTCTAATTTAGGGGATTGTGATAGGATTTATTAATCGCGATACATCAGTACGCTTCAGATTTTTATGGGGCGAATGGCATGGGGCCGGCGAGTTATCGGTCAATGGATGAGACGGCTTTATTGGGTATTGGTGGGTCTCTACTCCTTAGTGCCTGCCGTGGTTGTGATTGAGCTGATAGAATGTGCTTGGTGTGTGTGAAGGCGTGCTACTTGAAGAGTCCGTTAGGACTTGTTTGGGGAAAGAAGGTGAACTCGCGCTTATTGATGAAGAGGCCTTTGACCCGATTGATCCCTATGAGATCCGTAGGCAGAGGTCCTTGGCGTATTCACAGAGCCAGAGGGAGGCGGCAAATTTGAAGAGGGAAAGCGGCCAGACAGAGGGGACCAAGAAGAAGAAGAGAAAGAGGAAGGTGATCAAGAGTGGGGATGGGGAGGAGGAGATGGAAGCTAAAGCTATGTTTAGAGTCGGGTTGAGAGATGAGAAAGGGGAGCTTGCAGACGAAAGAGAAGGGGCCACAAAAAATCGGAAGAAGAGAAGTAATCGAAAGAAAACCAAGAAGCACAGGGAGAAGGAGCAGGTCGATGAACAAGTGGTTGAGGAACAGGAGGTAGGGTATGAAGGTGGTAATGTTGCTAGTAGCAGTGGCTAAGCCACTCGAACGAAGACGACAAAGGGACTCACAATTTTATCCAGTACCCAGCTGAGATGCTGATGGGGGGGGTATATCGGCCGGTTTGGGGTTAAGGTATCAGTTCTTTTATAAAATCCATGCCTTGTCTGGACTCACTTTACTATGGCGGAGAGGTAATCACCGGTACGGCAACTACACTTTTTTTGGGCGGGTGTCAGATTGGAACTGATGGGGGGGTTCTAGTTCAAGATGGTGAGCTGGAGGAAGGAACTTGGGTTGAATTCTAAGCTTGCCGACCTCGCAAGAAACCTGAATCTAGTCAGATTGAGACCAACTATTTCTTGCTAACTCCTGGAACTATTATTTGGCGCTTACGAAGGAGTTGTAATTGGAGCGTTGTGATTCAGGGTTCATAACATGTTTGATAGCTTTCACTTTACTCTCCCCTCACTTTCATATGAGGTCTTCACTCGCAAGATACCTACTATAAGGGATTCAGGAAGGGGGTTTAGGTATCTAACTTAATTTTGGAGGTATTGTTTAACAGGCGATTCATAGCTTGATTGAGGCGTACTTGTAGATTGGTGCCATGTTTGGTACTTGTGTAATTTACGTGAGAGGCTGCGTGGACTCAGTTTTTCTGTAGTGAGCGAACCATTCGCTTCTAAGCTCACATATTCCTCATCAACTCCGTCACCATTGACGCGAGTGAGCTTCGACAATACCTTTCGCAAGAATGTCACGCCGTCGTAGCAGGCTGCCCTCCGCGACTATCGCTAGTTCTAGCATTCGGATCTTATCGGCGGGTGAGTTTCTGAAGGGAGTATGCCCCACAATATGATACCTTCATCTCTATAGACATGGAATTAATGGCCTTACTCTAGTTGCGTCGAACCCCGCGAAAGTCGAGAAGCGGGCCCGTTCAAACAAGCACTCCTCCTACCGCCACAAAAGCCATCCCTTCGCCGGAGGAGAATCAAGAGGATGACTTTCTCCTCGAGACACTAGCTGCCCTGGAAAAGGCTGACGAGGATGTTGCTCGGCCGACCGCCAAGAGGAAGCTGAGGGAGACAATAACCCTGGGAATCTGGTTTCCAAAGAGGAGAAAGAAGCACCACGTGGCCAATAAATCCCTCGTCCTTTCACGATATCCACAGAATGAGAGGTTTCTATCCTCAGGTGAACCACAGGAAGATTCTGATCCGGACCCTATATTGAGTGGTATAACCCAGACAGATAATCCAGTTCCAGTGCTTCTGAAGCCACGCTTTCCCGTAAGCGTTATTAGAGGGAGTATCGTTTCCCCTTGGACACGGCGTGGTAGAAATATAACTGCTGCTGCGGGGGATAAGGAATCACGAGTGATCCACTGTGAGAAGGAGAACTGGGGTGATCGTATTGACAATTTGCTGGTGCCTGGGAAAGTTAGGGATAGGGCAATTCGGGAAAGGACTCCTTCGTTAAGTGGAGCTCTAGAATTGGTATTTACGCTGAGCCTGTAAAATGGTCGTTGAGCTAATGGGAAAAGGCGAATGTAGCAGATCGAACTCAATCTCCAACCAGGACAAATAAGTTTCCACATTTTGTCTCGTTTGACTCACAGCTTGCTACCCCGGGTTGCTCACCTTCTCAGGATCGAGGGCTGGTTGGTATGGAGCTGGGACCTGAGCTAGGATTTTTCCAGGCACCCGAAACAAATCCACAAAGCAGAAAGCCAGCAATTGCAGACCAATCTGTGCCACGGCACTCGGGGAAAATTTGTACAATTGATTCATCAAAGCTATCGGGGCGGTCAAACAAGCTGACAAGCGGGTACCATATAGCGGAATCTCCCCTCGGTTTGAGAATATCGGAATTTGGTTTGGATAACCGGGATCATGCGGAGCCACGGGGCGGTGCTGCTGGAGATATCTCATCTCAAGTACCCCCCAGTTTAATAGGAAGTGGTATTACGGTGGAAAATGGGGGACAGGAATCTATGATGAAAACTTTAGGATATCCTTGGGAGAGGTTTGATAGAAGTCCAACACCGTTTCCGAGCCCTGAGCCTGGGATTGCGCCCCGAGGGTCAGGTTGTAGCTCACTGCTTAGATTCTGGGAGTCTCAGTTTTCCAGGCCATCCCCGGATACTGGTCTTTCTGGAGGCGATATAGAGGTTTGTGTTTCCCCTATCCAAGAGCCTGAGGACAGCCCCCAGTTCTGGGCAGAGGGGGGGACCAAAAAACCCTCGTACATTCTTGAGGAAGAGATGGGTGAGGGCGATTTGACATCCTCGGTAAGTGTGGCGGCTCTACTTGTTTGCGTGTTCTAATATAAAGGTAGTCTGTACAGCTATGGAAAGATTATCAACTGGGGCGTCTGGAACTGATTTCTCCACCAAAGCAACCTCCAGCAGTTATTCTAGAATCTCCAAAATCTATGCCTCGGAGCGACCAACCAGCCCAGGTGCAGATGGAGCAGGTCATGCCCCCTCCCCCTCTTCGGCAACCTAGGAAACTTATAGATGAGGGCAAGAGTCAGGGCGATATGGGTTATATCAATGGTTAGATCCCGAGTGTGATTCAATTTCGGCATGTTTTACTGAATAACGCTAATCGTAACTATGTGTAATCATAGAAATATCTGGAAGAGACTACTTTTCGAGTGCACAAAAAATTCTGAGCAATTATGAACCTGCTCGACCTACAGTTTCCCAGAGCCAATCCAATTGGAAAACCAACACAAATTCTGCGAAAGTTCAATTGGGCACTAAGGAGTTTCACAAGGCTCAGCCACCAACCTGCTCCCTGAGCCCGTTATCCACCCCAACACCAGCTCGTACTTACAGCAACATGCCACTTAAGGATATCATCAAGCGAAGAGAGGCTGTGCCACTGCGACGGCCCACAATTTCCAGCAGCTTCAAAAGTCCTTTTCTCGCAAATCCCCCGATGATAAACATGAACCAAACCATTATCCCTGCGACATCCGGGGTTTCCCGTCAAGGGCAAGGAGACGGGATTATGCCTATTGTTGGCCCGGGCCTATTCACCATACCGGCCCCCATTGTAGCGGAACCTGAAAATAGGGCCAAGCGCCGCATGACTCAATCTCAAGCCTTCTCTCTCCCGACCAGTACTCGTGCCCCCCAAATCGGACCTCGACGCGCTACACAGGGGGTACTCCTGCAGGCTCACCGTGGAATGACAATTCGATTCGAACCCGCACAGAAGCCATTCAAACCGCCGCTGATGGAAAAGCCATTGGAGCCAACACATAGGACAAGCAGACAACCGAGTGGGTTTGGCGCAACTGATGACCCTGTTTCTGTTTACCCGAGAAGAAAAGTCATCACAAAGGCATGGGCGAAATCTGCACAGGGGAACGCTGGGGTGGGTGCACATTGCGCTGGGGCGAGTAAAGCTGCTACGAGTAGCTTTGCAGAGGTTCAGGCTGCTTGGTAATGGCTTTCTTGATGCTTGACGAGGGTTTGTGGGAATCTGATGAGGAATAATATAAACCAGTAGCATTGGGAGAGGATATTTGAGACTTGAGCAAGAATGGCGGGAGCTGAATTGTGTATAGGGGAATATTCCTAGTTCATAGCATCCTGTTCATATTTATCTCTAGCTGTTCACGGGCGTTGTTTTTATTGCACCGGTGTGGGGTCAGACGTCTGGTGATCAGCACTGTGATGCGTTCCTGTTTCTTTGCTCTTTGCTATAGGGTTAATATATGATCGCTCGGGCTCGCTTCTTTATGCCCACCCTTATTTTACAATTCGTGGTGCCGCTTCGACTGGGATAGTGGCCCAAGTCCGCATAAAAATTCAAACGAGTGATATCACATGATCAAACTGTCCTTCCCAACACCCTTTCAAAAGCGATTAGAATTTGACTAAAACTTTTGGTAATATACAAAGCCTGCACGCGCCCCTGCTGCCTCCACTCTCAGGTATGAGTTCGAAAGCGCGTAAATCTTTCCACCAACAATAAACCAAAAAAAACAAACCTCGAAATCCTACCTAAGCATACGCCGCCCAACCTACCTAAGCATACGCCGCCCAACCTACCTAAGCATACGCCGCCCAACCTACCAAACGCGTTAGCTAAACCCACCCACCCACCATTAAAGAAATGGGGGAGACCAAGAAAAAAAGGTACTCACCAGAATACAAAACTGCCAAGTTTCTCTCATCCCCCGCCACTTGAATAAGCTCGTTAACCGTAGCGCCAACACTCAGAGTGGCACTCAACTTTTTCGCGACGACGGTGAGAGCCCTATCCGCCTCGCTCTCCTCGTCCTTCTTCCCCGCACCCCCGGTTCCGACAATACCCTCATCCACAATCCCGGTCGCAGCAGCTTCAACTTGATCCTGCATCTTCTTCATCCTGAGCGGAGAGATGGTCCAACTGTAGAGCGGGTCGTAGCGCAGGACGTCGAGGATTGTGGTGATGTTGTAGGCCTCGTTCCGCAGCACGGTGAGCGTGAATTCGCATGATCGGCGGAATACGCCTTCTGTCCTTGTGACGCCGAAGCCGTCTATGATGTCCCTGGTGAGGCGGAAGGGAACCACTTCTGGCACGGGGAGTATGCGGCCTTGTTCGAAGGCAACGCCGAGGTCGATGTGCACGACTTCGCCGCTCTTTTCGTCTAGTAGGATGTTGTGTCCGTGCCGATCGCCCAGGCCGAGCACGTGTCCGAGGATGGATATGGCGGCGGTGGACCGCGAGTATGCTAGCCGCGAGGAGAACCAGTCATCTGGTCCGTTGAACTTGTGCATGAAGAAGTAGCGCATGACTGGCCTGAAGTGCGCTGCTACCCGCTGGAACGCGTCGATACGGACTTCCCTGGTCTTCGTCTGCACGTCTGTGATTGTCTTGCGACAGTAGGTGGGTTTCCAGTCGCGCGGGTGGTAGGACATGTGTGCTGGCATCAGGAAGTCGTACAGGGGGATGGTGTTCGCGACGAATTCGATTATGCCCGCGTTAGTAGCTAGGGGGAGGACTTTGTAGTTCCGGATAGAGAGGTTTCGTTGGCGGGTTGTGCGAGACTTTTTCAGAAGGTTGCTGACTTGCTCGAAGACTTGCTCCATTATGGCATCCTGCCGGAGGTCGTCGTTGCCACCTTTGAAGAGCATTTTAAAGGTGCGCCCGTCTGATGCGAGGCAAGTTACTATCTTTGGCGCGCTGATACCTGAGGCTATGGTGATTTCAGGGTGGAACTTCGCGATCACGGGGAGGCCGCTGTAGTCCTTGTCCGCGCGGACGTCGATTTGCATGGTTGGAGGGGGGATTTTCCAGTTTGGGATGTCGACGGAGAATTTGGAGTAAATGTCTCTCGTCAGCACGCTCCTGAGGACTGGTTTAATGCCGGGCTTCCTCTCAATCTTTTGCGTTGCTAGTTTTATATACGATGTTGTCGCCTGGATGATGTGGCTGAAGAGCGGCTTTGACGATGGGTGAGCTTTTAGTTTCGTGGCGATCTTGGCGGCAGAGGCTTGACGGGATTGGGAAATATTGTCTTTCGGCTTCGCCCTCGTCAGTGCGAGAATCTGGTAGTGCCCGTGGTGCGGGTGGTCCATGCATATCCGGAGGATAAGCGGGAATAGTAAGCTTTGGAATATATCCTCTGGGCTCTCTAAAAGTCTAGAGGACAGTTGATTCATCAAGGGGACAAACTTCCTTGACGCAACTTGCCCGAGCGGGGCCTCTGCGGCCTTATTTACCTTGGCATCGCCGGAGTGCTCCAACCAAAGAGCACAGAACCTGACGGCATCATGGTCGTAATCGTCGCAAGCAGCCAGAGCACGAAGGTAATTGGAGATACTCCTCTCCAGGAAGGCCTCCCTGTCCAGCCTAAGTCTATTAAACTCCGCGTCGTCGAGGTTCAGCCAGGTCTTCGCTTTATGCCTGTAGAGTGTGAGCTGCTCCAGTTTGCCACCGGCAGCGGACTTCATCAACTTCTCCAACTCGCGGACTTCCGCCTCTTTGTTCTGCCGGAGCTTAAGCGCTCGTTGGTAATCTTCTATGTTCCCTGAATTCTGTAGCTGCTGGTCGCAGAAGGACGCAAACTCGTGAAACACTCTGCCAGCCTCGGACCCTGAGTAGTTCTCCTTAAGCTCATCGATAGCGAAAACAAGGTAATTGCTCATAATCTTATCAGGTTTTTCTAGCCTGGCTTCTGATACCCAATTCCCCTGAAAAAGGAAAATTGAAAAAAAAAACACCCAATCAGCCATGAATCATAGTCCAATCACCAGTGGGCACTCACCAACTTCGCCAAAAGTTTTGCCTTCCCAACTACAATGCTCTGCTGCCCTAGCGCATTATCAAAGCCCAAAGCCTGCAACATCCTAATCGACGCGATCCCCTGCCCATGATCCCACAGCACATTCGCCGCCTGTAACGTCGCAACAGCGTTGATATCCAGACCAACCTGCTTGCAGGGCTCGACAGCCTTACTCAACTGCGTAGCGGCCGAGAGTGAGTGCTGAAGGACCTTGTGGCTCCTCGCCATCTTGCAAGACGCCACGAGCGCTTTCGCTTCTAGGAAGCGCGCAGTCTTGATGTCCACACCCGCTGCACGTCGTAAATGATCGCGTTTAGAAACGGAACTTAAGGTTGTTTGGCGCATTGTCATGATCTCTTCAACGTCTGAGTATCGCCCTATATGCATCCAAGAATTACGGTTTTGTAAGCGCTCCCAGACTTGCTCTAGTTCTCCGGTTTCCTTTGAGACTAGAACTTCTTCCATTTCTGTTAGCATTGCTAGTGTTCGCATGCTAGCGCCCAGTGAGTGGCCGGTTTGCTTCCCGGCCGTGATCTGACGCATTACGCCGAAGAAGGAGGAGTCTAGTTGTGACGGAATGGCCCTCATGTCGAGGTTGTTATTCACGCTCTGTAAAGCTCGGTATATGGTTGCTGAGCGGGTAGTGCACGAAGAAGGGCATGGCAAATCCCATTGTTCAAGTTTCCACGCCGAGCGGAACATATTGTCTAACGTGTCCTCAGACGCATCCGCCGCCGTACCGGACTGCAAAAACGCATGCGAGAGGCCGTTCATGCCCAGTGTGTTAAACGCATCCACCACACCAAACAGATCCTGGCCGTCAGACGTAGAACCCAACCTCAAGTGGCTCTCAAGATTTGCCCCTCGGAACGAAAGACTCTTCCAGCCATCCTCCTCGTACTCGAACCTCTTAAGGACGGTTTCAAGACTAGAAGCTTGGCTGACACCATAGTAAGAATCCAAATCATCCACGTTCCTAAAAATCTCTAGCAAAAGCTTTGAATCCGGAAACTCGGCATTGCCAGACTCCGAGTGATAGATTTCGGCAAAGAGGAGTGACGTCTTGAACATCTTGCAGATACAAGCTGCTCTTGCCATCTCCAGATAATCCACATCGAGCCAATGATCTCTAGGCAACTTCGTAGCCTCCTGAGCCGTCTCCTGGGTCCGCAAGTACAATATAGTCTTGATCAGAATAATGCTATGCGGCACCGTCTTCTCCGAACAGGTCCTGAAACAATCTCTAAAAAGTTCTGACAACTCCATCTTAAGCTCGTCATCCCCCTTGATATGATGCAGCAAAAGTATATGTACCACAAACGGGAACAAGTCCTTCGCCAGACCGCCCACCTTCTCAAGTATAGGCCTCAAGTTCTTGACCACCGCATCCTCCTGTAAATTTGTTGATATCGCCGTCGTCAGGTCCTTTACCCACTCATCAACAGGCAGGATCTCCGGCTTCGTGACAGAAGTGATCGGTCGTGGGTTTTCATTTTCGGATAGTGACATCGGTAGGATACTCCATTTCATAGCCTTATACATGTTTTCATCGAGGATATAGTGAAACGTAGCTACTCCTGGAGACCTGGATTCGTCAAAGAATATAGTCTCGAGAGTGGCTTCCGCAAGGCCGATGACTAGCCTATCATCGCTGAGTAGCAGCTTCAGCAACAGCTGGAAAATACCCGCTTTGGGGATGATGTCGAGATCGTACTGCGTCGTGTCCAGATCCGTAATCTTCTCCAGTTCAGTCTCCTGCGTCCACTCACTATGTATGTCCCCGCTCGCGGCATAGGACCTCCCCAGCACCCGAGCAGCCCATAGCAAGAACCCATCACTGACATCCAATCTCCGACAAGTCCTCAACAACACCCTGGAGCGCGCAACGGACTCCTCATCACTGCCAAAGATATCATCGCGGAAACTAACTGGCTTCTGAAAGCCCGAGCAGACCAGCGAGAACGCCAGCCCACGGGAGACATCATCCAGAAGTTTATTTTTGTTCCTATCGTCGTCCAGCAGATGCCGCAATAGATCACTCTCTTTTGTCCCAGAAGACGCATTTCCATGCAATCTGAATCCCATTGCAGATTCGACGATGGCCTGAAACAATTGATTTTGCATCTCGTTCAGCTCCGGGAAGTGACAGCCGGTGAGGTAATCTCCCAGCCAAATATGAAATGACTGCGCAATGTTAAGACTTAGTTGCACCTGAGTATCCTCCTGCCCAGTGGCAGCAGAAAGAAATGCCCGTAAGGAAGCAAGTATGGACAAAAACGTTCCGATCACGAACGCAGGTTGAGTAGATAAATATCCCTTCCCCTGATCAAGTAGATACTGCACAACCCCAACCGCATCCTCGGCGCAATACGTATCGACAATGTAAGGCTTAAGCCCGTGAATAACCATCTCGAGCGCATACCCATCAATACTCTTTGGATTCGCCAGGCAGACGAGAAGTCGGATCTTCCGCACGACGGCACAAGCGCTCAAACTCCCCAGCGCAGGATCCATAGTGTCGAATAGTCGCCTAGTAACAAACGTAAACATAGCTGGCGTCCAGAGGCGGGTATCATCATACTGCAATCGCCCACACAGATGATGCACGGCGTTGAGCACAACCTTAACCTTAAAGTATGGCCTCAGTGGGTCCGGTATCTTTCCTGTTGAGTGACTGACCTCCACAATGTCCCTCATGTAAGCCGCAGTGGCAGCGAGTGACGGGTCTTTCGACAGGAATCTATCTGATGTGCCATCCTCCTGCATAACCTGGAATAGGGAAGCAATAATAAGTGCAAACTTCTTCTCTAACAGCCGTTTATACTCCTCATCCCCGAGCCGCTGTCTAATGCGAAGCTCCACATTTGGAGGCTGGGGCGCGTCCGGCCTCGGGGGCGTCGCCATTGCTCCAGCGACTCCGTAAGCAAGTATCTTGTGGAACCCCTTCTCTAGCAAATCGTCATACGGAACGTCTAATATCTTCGCCAACTCCTGCGAGGCATCATCCTTCTCCTTCATTAACAGCTGGGCAACAAGGTCCTCATGAACGTCGGCGAATAACTCCTTCAAACTCTCATACCCAAACACCCGGAAGGGAAACCTCGTGAGCTCGTCGTTGTCGATCCAAGTATATAGTAACTGAGGACTAAAAATCTTAAAGAGATCTCTGGGTCCACCCAGTTTCAAAGCCTTGGCGACGGAAGATAACGCCTTTGCGGCATACTTCTCCCCGTCGACGAGTTGCCCGGTCTCAAAAATATAATAGACAATTAACTTCTTCGTGAAGGTGGTAAATGCCAATTGTGCAAGCGTATACACCCGCATCGCCAATCCCTCCGCCCAATCCGACTGATCAGTCAAGTGGCTGAGTATGTCCTTGAAAACCGTCTCGTGAACGGTGAGCCCAAAGATCTTAAACAGCACCGGGACGCAGTTCCCTAGTTCGAAGGAAACACGAACGTCTCCGTCTGCGAGGAGCCCAATGAACTGGGTTCTGGTAGATTTCATCTCGGACTTTTGTCCATACTCAGGATTAACTTCCAGAATCCGTTGGAGGAGATGGGCCATTTCCATGCGGGTGGTGCTTGACATTAAAGCCCTGTCGAGGGCGACCTTGGTCACCCATTCATATATGGACTCGCAATTAGCTACCACATCGCCTTCCACGCCCTCAATAGCCCACCGAGGGACGAGCGCACTCAGCGTATCGATACAAAGTCGAACTGCAGTCTCGCATCGCTCGGTGCTATAATCTTGTAGTAATGCCATTGCCAGATGCTCCGTGAGATTCGCAGCATCGCTATCGGCAAGTCTATCACTCGCAGCGAATAAAAAGTCCCTAACAAGTGGCTGGGACATGATCAACCGTTCTTTAGATAGCCCCATCAGGTAATCGACGAAGTGTCCACAGAGCTCATCGGAGCTATCATGTTTCGTTGAGAGGGCAAACAGCGATATTAAACCCGTAGTACAATGCTGAAACGTTTCTGTTGCACATGCAGCCTGAATGGATTCTCTGGCAAAATCTACTCTCTTCACTGTCCGATCGTTATCTGGCATATCAAAGTCGTCGTCCAGGTCCATCATGTCGACACCATCCTCCGTAAGGTCAATCGAGCTCTTCACGATGCTCTTCTCCTCAATAACCTGAGAAATAGTAGCTAGAGCCCGCCCAAATTGACCAGTAAAGACCTGAGGTGCGTTATATGACGAGACAACAATCACACCAGGTCTAGGAACCAGTCCAGCAACGCACCTAAGCAATCCCTCAACTTGCTTGGTACCGCAGTCATCCCGCTCTACATATCCCAACGCATCCTTATTCAACGCCTCTACTTTCTTCTCCAAGGCTTCAACCTTGATCCTATCGTGTGTGCGAGGTCGAACCGCAGAGCAGAGTATACTTGCAGTGCAAACAAACCCGATAAGGTTCTGGACTATGTCCGGAGTAATGTGCTGCAATTGATTAGTGACCATAGTCTGCCACCTCTCCCGGACTGCATCACATTGTCGATCCAGAAACTCAATGACCTGCAGCTCAACACCAGGATGTGCAGTTGGCTGTGTGTCTCGTAGTGTATTCGCCCGTGCAGTGTTGGCCTCTGTATCTGCCGGCACGATCTCATCTCCGAACAGCAGAAAACTAAGCAATCCAGCATGACGAGTGACCTTGATTACAGCCTGTCCAATAGGTCCACAGGACTGGGGTGGATACGCCTCAAAGTCCAACGGCTTCTTCCCGCAGCACGAGAGCAGGAAGCTAGACAAGTTCTTAGGACAAAGATGCTGCGAGTAGAATAAAGCAGTCCCACGCTCAAGTGCATCAACTAACACGATCAGCCAAGGACTCAAGAAACCAAGCCAAGCAAAGAACTACCGCATACCAGGCCTCCACTTTGATATCAACCACTGTAAGAGCCTCTCCCCAGGCTGCAAAATCGACGAATGCGCGACAGTATTCCTCTTCTCCAAGATCAGGCACCAAACCGCCAGAGACGAGTCAACAACACTCGCAGGACCACTAAGATCAATTGACAGTATCATAGCATCCACTTCTTTAGATACCTCAGTATACGGCACCAGATCCACCGCTAGTATAATCCTCATAAGATGGCAAGCAGCCCGGCACGTAGCCTGATTTGCCGAGTACCTGGGGCAAAGCTGCCAGATCTGATTCCAAATCGGTCGATGTGAGGGGTCGGATGCGGGTTTTGAGAACGCACAACTATATCCATCATAGAATTAGCCCAGGAACACTCTACAGTGGAGCAAGAAATCGGGGCAAAAAAGAATCATATATTCTGTTTCTTTCCCCCTCTCTATCCGCGGCAAGACATGCAATAATACAGGAAGAACTCGGGAAACACGAAGGAATCCGCAGGAATCCCACCTTGCAATTGAAAGTAGAGCCCACGACGAAATGACAGGATTATCATCCGAACACGCATTAAACAGATCTAATAAGACAGAACTAAACTCTCCGCTCTCCATATCCCTCTGGCCAACCAGGAAGGGCAACGTCTGAAGTGCACAGAGCCTCCTCGAGGTAATCATGGATCGAGCATTCCGCATCAATTCTTCAAAATTCTTGGAAACCTTGAGTCTCTTGTTACGTTCCCCTTCCAGCGCTTTGCCATTTGAGCCAGCCGGATCCCCACCGGACCTATCTAGGATATTGACTACTGTCGCCATCAATTGGGGTACTATCCAATTCATTTCAGCCCTCTGGTTCCCCTTCCGGAGGCAAAAGCCCTGTAAACCAAGGGGCGTTATCTCAGCATCAAAGGCCTTCAGTGGGTCCGGGAACACTAGATCATCTAGCTGCAGTTGGTCGCGATCCGCCCGCCCAGAACACTCTACGAAAAGGGCTTCCGAAAGAGCTTCCACCTTCCGCCGCAGAGTTCTCGACCGGCCTTCACTTATTATAGTGCGAATTTGTGGTAGTATATAAATCAAAGTAATCATCATCTGTTCCCTAAAAGTCGGCTGTTTAGAGTCCCACAACTTTGCCAAAACAGGAACAATCCCTTGAGCAACCTTCGCCGCCAAGGAAATATTATTCGTTGCAATAACCTCCAGCACAGAATTCAACGCCGTAAACGCTGGTGGATGAGCACGAGTAACTGTAGGCTGCGAAGTCAAAAACCCGAGAATAGTCCCAGCAACCATCTCATCGTATTCAACAATCGGAGCATTAGGAGTTTTCAACAAGATCTCTAGACACAACATCAACTCCTCACTATCATGGTTCAACCTAGGGACACCTTGAGAAGGTGGTTGTGAGCGTCTAGAAGCCAACGACGCCTCTCTCGATAAGCTAAGCCGTACATTCCTCGACCCTGCGCTTGCACCTTCATCTGCGCTCTCTGGATCACCGGTCAAAAGCCCTAGCTGAGATTCCACATGCGTGCAGCAAAACCGGGCCAGTGTCGCCCATTCCTTCTTATCGATATGCTCCGCATGTGGTGAACACGCTAGGCAAGTACGCAACGCTTTGATATAGTCCAAACTAATCGGTTCGCAGAGGCCATCCCCCTGGGGTAGTGTGTCAATTATATGCTTCGAAAGCGCTTTGAAAGTTTTACTCCGTATATGCACCACCCCCTGCTCGACTGCCAACCGAAATACTGATGCGCAGAGCGACAATCTGCTGCCGACAGACTTGACGAGCGAGGGTTTGTTCTGCCGGGTGTATATCATCTTCTCTTTAACGACCGCCCGAAAAATCGCTTCGAACATCTTGTGGTAGCCTTTGTCATTGAGTCCCCTACTATTTATTCCACACACCCCAGGTAACCAAGATCAGCCATTGAGCCTCCTTATCCAGAGAGAGGGAAAAGCAGTTACGTGTGCTTGCTGTTGCTCAAAATGAGCTTAAGATCTAGGTTTGAAAATATCAGCACCAATCCAACCACCACCTGCAACGCAAACGAAAAAAAAACAAACCGGAAAGCCCGTTCGATCGATCGTGAACTTTGTCCGACTGTATCTTTTCTACCGACCCGTCAGTGCCTGCAATTCAGCTTGATCAAGGGAAGCTGCATTACCGTAGGCATCGAACAGATTGACTTCTGGGCCCGACATGGCGCGAGGTTATGCTAGGTTCCAGTTTCTTATCAAAAGGAGGGTATTCTTTTAGATGATGGTTAAGTTAGTGGGCGACTGAAGTATGGCTCATGTAGGCCGGTAAGGCGAGCAAATGAGAAGCGAGGATAAGGTCGTTGTCGTTTATGTTTGACCAACAGTGAAAAGATGGTCAGACCCCGAGCGCGTTTCATAGAAACGTGAGGCTTTCTGTCATGTCGGTACCCTTACCGTAACCAAACACGCCAATCCCGTGAGCCAAGACCACCTGACACCCTGAGAATCCCTAACCCTGTATCTGGTACTGACCTCCCCCTATGGACCAATGAGAGCATAATCCAGATAATCCCTCCCTCTAACAAGTGAGCGTTGGCCCACGATAGTAAGATACCGACCGGTACGGCAGCAATCCCCCCGAAGTCACCGTTATCCAAGTTTCATTACTACATAAAACATTATCTTATAATAGCGGGATCCATTAATCCCAGATCCACCACGCAAAGCTCATACATTATACTCGATTTTAAAAATAAACCAAAGGCACCAAGAATGGGTATCATAAAACCAAAATTCAGCACGCTCAAAAGCAGCCGCCATATCGGGTATCACATCATGTCTCCAACCTCCTACAAGTAGTACTCCTCGCGACCCCTTTTCCAGCTCTCAAGGAGAACCATAACCTCTTGTCTGCAGTCTTCGATGATAGCATCAATCTTGATATCATTCCTGTCATTCCCGAAGGGATCCTCCAATTCCTCTCCGATGCTTGTTGATGTTAGTCCAAATTTATTAAGTTGATCACAGGATATCACATACCCTTCAATACCATAGAGAGTAAAGCAGACAAGAGTGATAACCGGAATGGTCCACCTAATATTGTCAACAAAACCCCTCAAGTAACGGTCCGCACGCACCAGGCCCCTACCATCCCATATCGTCTAAAAGGCAGAATGGAAGCACACAACAGTATAAGGCCAACACCTGTTTTTGATGGATCCTAGAGATGTCAATCAGCACATGTGCTCGGTCGTCTTCCCCAGAACAACTTACTGCTGACAAACAGGTATGGGAGTCAACCTACAAACTACCATTAATAACTCATGCCAAAAACCTCACTCACTAACAGCTGCTTACTTAATAGTCTCCATGTTCCCATAAGCCATAATAACTGCATTCAGCGACGCATTCAAATTCGCCGACTGCGGCGCATTGAAAGCCCCCTTCTTAACACCCCTCTTGATATACCTTTCGACCACGAACGCCAACTCCATCGGTAACCCCACACCTTCCGCTTCATGCCCTCTAAACCCCTCGGGCATCAGACTAGCAAACTCTGGTTGGAGTGCCGATGCTTCCCAATTCCCCCTCAAGTGGTTCTTCACTGCGTAGAGCATCGCAACGAGAGTTTTTACAGTCCTCTCCGTCTCGACTCTATCCGAATCGTCGGAGAGGGGTCCACAAACCAGGAACGTGCGAACGAGATTGCGAAGGTTGTTAACAATCTGCTGTAAGGCTGTGCGGCCGCCCCAGTAGCGTTCGTAGGAGCTGCTATTCCGGAAAACGAGCATGAGACCGACGACGATGGAAAGCGAGGGAACAATGGAGGAGGGGAGAGCAAGGTCCACATCGACAAGGCGGTGGACGAGAAGGACGGCTATTGTGAAGAGAGTGTGGAAGAGGACGGGTATAAGGATTACTGGGCCTTTGGTTAGCTATTTGTTAGACTCTCATGGTGGGAAAAGGCGGTCGATACCATAGTGAATAGCTCCCTTGATGAAACGAAACACCAACGGCCATCTACCTCACCATTAGCTCAACCCTACACAAACATTCACAAGAGAACAAACTTCCTAGGCTTCTGCCTCAAGGATTTGCTTAGCGGAAATGTCGCCCTTGGCCCAACGCCATTCGTATGTGTAGGTAAAGGACTCATTGTGTCTCTCTCGCCTAATGAGCTCCAGAGAATGAGAAGGGGGGAGAATAGGGAGGGGAGTGAGGAGGAGAAAGCACGGTGGCGGGATCATCTCTACTCTATAGGCTAGTGCAATGTATCATTCAGACATGGGTGGCTCCACTTGTGGCGATAATTTTCCTTTGTAGCACAAATGACGAACGGGAAGCATTTATTTTTTCATCAGCCCTTCGTTTCTGTTCCTGGCAGGTTTGTGTACCGACGTTTTCTTGGCTCTCGGAGATAGACGCTCGGCAGGGCTTATCCATTCGGATGATGCCGGGGAAGACCCTTCGGCAATTGGAACCCCCAAGTTGGGAGACAGAGAGCTTTGGAGAACGATGAAGGTCTGCTGTGCAGATATCGGTTCATAGGGAAAGCCCACAGAAGAAGCTCTCCATGAAACAACAGATCCCATACGCTTGTTTCTTCACCAAGCCAACTCGCGGTAAAAGGTCGTGCAACGGCGAAAGTGGCGCTGAACCTCCAGAGACCCTCTCTTACATACAATCCACAAAAATTAACGAACCTAGCCGAAACCGACGCTCGATCCGTGAGGTCATCAAAAGCCCTTCATCCCTCGAGTGAACGGGTGTGACTTCCTTTTCCCATCATATCGAGTGCGATATCGTAGATATGATGAGAGGTAGTTCCAGAGATGCACCTGTCGGGCTAGAGTCCCTAGAGCGATCCCAAAGTTTTTGGTTACGGTGTAACTTAAACTGTGAGGATAGTTAACTATATAAAGCCCCTCCCCCCTCCCTGCTGGTTCATTCCTTCCGTACAATCATTATCCACAGTCATTACCGGCACAAACCAGCATTCACTCACTCGCTCATCCACTATTCGTCGACCCGTCGGTCATCACAAAATGTTCGGAATTGTCGAGGTGCTGTACACAGTCGATCGTGCTCCCCTGCTACTGTCCTTCCCAGCTAACACCTGCAGGGCTTAATCCTCGCAACTTGGGTCATGCCAATCATTTACATACTCGACATAATCAGAAGCGTCTAGTCCTGCGTACGATAGCAGGCCGCATCAGGGGAGGGAGATGGGGGGGCCATAGCATGTATGATACTAGTACTCGAGTGCTGAAAAAGGGCCAAAACCTCTCTTATTCGTGTGAAATTCAATCTACCATAGTGGTATTATTTTCTATAAGTTACAACAATGGTGGTGACTCGCTGCGTATCCTACCCGCTTAACAGTCACAATAAATATTATAAAAAAAAATTAATAAAATAAATAAAAAAAAAAAAAAGTGAGAAAAAGAATTGGGGCATGACCAAAAGGAAAAGGGGAAAAAGCGCCCCGGTGCAGAACCCCTCAATCACCCTCCTCCCAAACTCCATAGTAGTCTGCTAAGCAACCAATAAAGGAATAACCGTACCACATATCTTTTTTCTTTTCTCTCTTCTGGATTTAACGAAACTACATCCGAAGAAGAAAAAAAGGGATTCGCAAATGTGTACATAGACCCGATAATTAGCCGTTCTGTCGCTTCTTCCGGGCGTACCCTACCAAACTCTCGATGACAGTTTCGAAGGTTTCTTTATCGCTAATGGCGCCTTCCCGCTTCTTGAGCCAGTAGGTAAGTACCTCACTTGCGGTACAGGTGATTGATTCTAGTTTCTTGATGTGCTCTTTTAACTCCTCGACTGTGAGGCCCCAGAGCGCAACATCACTTGTGGAGCACAGGATACGAGCGCCCGGCACGTCCAGCGCTTCCGGCCCAATGACTCCACTTTTCCTCCGACTGGAGGAAGTAGACCGTCGTGCTCGTGATCTCGAACGTGAATTTCTACGACCGGCACTCTCATCGATCGACTTGCGTGCGATGTTGACAGATGGTAGGACTAGCTTCTTTTGTTTAGTCTCAGCTGGGAGGATTTCGTCCAGATCTACGGGTACACCAAGGGAGACAAGGAAGAGACGGCGGATCCGAGACATCTTCCAATTAGGTGGTTGTAATGGCGGGGGTGCGGAAAGTTGATTCCAGAGTGACAAGCTGTGATGCGATTAGCGGAAGCAGGCCTAGAGAAAATGATAGACAAACCTTCGTTCCGTGAGGAATGCATTGTCGTCTATTGATATAGGAGTAATGCTTTTGTATTTCTCCTTGTCAATCGGAAACATTATTGCCATAGCCTCTGCAGCAGCTCGACGGATAGTGTCCTCATCATCTAGCCTCTCGAAATCGAGTACCGGCACAGGGATAACTGGAATTTGTGGAGGCGCAGGTGGTGGAGCCGCCTCGACGGGCGGCGGCTCAAAGGCCTCTGCTTCACCAAATCCTCCAAAGTCATCAAACTCCTCACCCTCTACAACTTCGCCGAAATCGTCAAAGTCGTCGTCTCCAAAGCCATCATCGTCCTCTGCTTCCTCTCCCCTTATTTCATCTTCCTTTGCCGTAGTTTCCTCCTTCTCTTCTTCCTCTGCCGCTTCATCCTCCTCCCTTTCCTCCACCTTTCCATTTTTTCCCGCATTAACACCATCTATTACTTGACCCTTGACTTCTTCCTTGGCATCTTCTGCCCCCGATTCCTCCGCAGGCACTTCTTTTGTCTCCTCCTTTGCCCTCTCAACTCCAGCCCCAATAGGGGCGTCATGAGTGATTTCCGGCTCTCCAACAGGCACGGGTGGCCCACACTTCTGTGAAGAAATAGGTGATTGACTTCTTAGCGGCTGTTCCTTCACCGTATCATCCTCCTTACCCCCTTTCTCAACCCCATTAATCTCCTTCTCCTTTCCCTCCTTCCCCTCCGGTTCCCCAATTGGCAATGTAATAGAAACCGAGTCCACCCTCCCCTTCACCGCGGGAGCTACACTCTTCGGCCCCTGTCCGGGGCTCACGCTTCTCGCTCTCCCAGGATTCATCATCAACTTTTCAATCCTCTCCCTCTCACTTTTAACCCTCCTTGCAATCTTATCCTCCTCTTCATTCCACTTGACCACCACGTCCGGCTGAGCATCCGCGGCCCTCATCTTGTACGCCTCGGTGCCAAGGACCTCCCCGTGCAATGGCTTGTCTGAGTCAACGATAGAAACCACAGTCGTGGGAATAGGCGAGGTGGTAGCGGTTCGGATAACGTCTGGCGCGGCGTCGACGAGTCGCTTTGCAAACGCTTCTGTTCCGGGGATTTCCCCATGAGCGGGCGTGGAACCGACTCGTTCGACAATCGTAATGGGGACATCAGATCTTGATGTTTCCACTTCCCCCTTACTTTCTTCCTCCTTTTCTTGCTCCTCGCCCTCAGGATTATCACCGAAGGCCCTAGGAACGGCAGCGAGCAGATCTGGCAATGGTTGAATGCGTATCACGTCTGGCCTCGCACCCGCCGTTCGTCCCTCAAACGCTCCTGTGCCGGGTACCTCACCGTGACTCGGCCTCTCATCAATCTTCTCGACAAGCACCAGCGGTATCGAAGGCAATGACGGTGGCAGCGGCGGCGATGTCGGTAGCCTTTTGTCATTATCCACTTCGGCAACGGCGTCGGGACCCTCTGGCGCGTCGGAGAAGTGATCCTCGTTCGAAGAGGTATCTCGAAAGTCTCGCATCTCAGTAAAATCCCAAGCCAAAAAGTAGTGTAAAAGTAAAAACCAGAAAGAAAAAAAAAAAAAAAGGTAGAAGGGAATTGCTTAGGCCGTAGCAATGACTCCCGGCAAAACAGAATAGGGTACGATGCTCATAAATCAAACAAAAGGAGGGAAAACCTTACAACCACTGTGCGTCTCGGAGTGTACCTGCATCGAATCCCTCGCCGGGTGGAAGAGTCCAGACTCGGGAGTCGTGGGCGGATCCATCTTTCCTTCAATATATCTTCCTCTTCTTTTGTAGTTATCTATTTCACTAGTGAGCGTCTGGCCAGAAGGATCGTTGGAGTCCAAGAGGGAAAATGGACAAATGGCCAGTACCATGGGGTTTGTCCTGATGCTGGGTTTGATTTCCCGATTGTCTGTTGGCGGCAGGGAGGGATCGGGGATCGAAATTTTTTAGCTTTTGGGCTTACCGTTACAGTGTCTTACCGGCAGTTTGCTTTCTTTTTTTCTTGGAGCCAGGTTGGTCGGTGGGTTGGAGAGAGGGAGGAACAGGGGGCTGAAAGTGTGGCTGGGGTCTGAGGCTCGAAGGGTGGAAACGGTTGGCGATGTGATCGGAGGTAACTTATGATAAGCATCGGATCCGATAAATGAATGAGGTATAGTAAGATGTTCCCCCTCTACTAACGTTTCCGACCGTGTTCTTGGTCACCACCTAGATATCAGCCACCCCACCACAACCCCGCAGATAGAGCTTTCCGATCGAATCCTTTCCGAGAACCAAATACCACAAAACAACAGATATGTCCACAGTTAGAACATGGGAAGAGGCCCTCTCTAGAGCATTTGCTTACCTTGATGAGCATCTGGAAGCAAGTTACCATTCGGTTGCATACCAGTTCCCACTAAATAAGACTACCCTCATAAACTGCTATGAGAACAGAACAAGAGCCTCCTGCGATATCCACCAAAGCCAGCAAAAGTTCACTCCTGAGGAGGAGAATAGAATAGTGAGATGAGTATTAAAATTGGATGATATGGGAATGCTACCAAGTGGGCATTTGGTGAGAAAATTGATGCTGAGAATATAGCAGGGTTGGGGATATTGTGCCAACGATGGAAGTCTACAACTTGGAAAGAGATTTATTGATTGCTTGCAGAAGAGATATGCAGTACTTAGTAGCCTTTTTGTACAAGCTATTAATTGAGAATGAGCGCTTGCTGGCAATTCTACTGTATTAAATTGCTTTTTTAACTGCCTAATCAAGATTTAAAGTCGGTACCATATTCTACCCAAGAATATCTGGAATATTAATGAGAAGGGTTTCCTTCTAGAGGTAATGAGTCAAGAAATGGTTCTCTGTCATAGTACCAGAAAGAATCCAATACTGATTCAGGAAGGGAGTAGAGAATGGATTACCTTAGTAGAAGCAATTGAAGCAACAGGGCAGATGATAGCCCCTTATGTTATCTATAAGGGAGAAGCCTAGTATATGGGATAGCATGATTATGAGAAATAAGAGGAGGCAACATTTACTCTCTTACCAACTGGGTGGTCGAATAACTGTACAGATTTTAAATGGCTTTCTGAGCATTTTTATCCTTGTACCCAGCCTATAGACTAAGATGCCTATCAGTTATTGCTGATTGATGGTCATAGCTCTCACCTGAGCTATGAATTTGTCTCCTTTACTCTTCAGCATCATATTTAACTTCTATGCTCTCCCTCTCATACTACTTACATGTTCCAGCCCCTGAATATGAGCATTTTCTCCCTACTCCAGTACTACTATGATCAGGAAGTGGATATAAAGTTGAGAAACCATGGTCCACTTGCATGAATACACAAAGATGACTTTTTTCCTAAGACAATTTGAGCATGTATGATGGCTAGAGTCTAACTAAGAATACTATTCTGGGTGCCTTGCCGGCGACAGGAATTTGGCCAATTGATCAATGCCAAGTACTTGATCATCCTACTGGCTAAAATCTAATCCTGCAACACCTTAACATACCTGCCACTTACCTCCTCCTACTCGCCGGTATGAGTACGTTTCAGAAAATGAATACTGTATACTGCAGTCCTCTGAATCAGCCAAAACCTGTATCCTTATTCACCAATTTAGATCAGCTGCTCATACTAGTACTGCTGAAGCCCAAGTATCAGCTGAACTCCTCTACCAAGAAAAGGGAAAGCAGCCTACAAGCAAAACAAACCGTCTTGTTATTACTAAGGTGAAGGTAATTGGAATTAAAGAGCTTCATCGACAACAGAAGAAAAGACTACTGGACAAGGTAAAGGCCTGTGATAAGAGGAGAAGGTAACTAGGAACTGAGTTGAAAGACTCATCTACTATGCAGTGGGTAGCGATAGATTAAAAGTTAAACAGCTTAGGCAGAGAAGTCACAGGAGTGATGGGGAGTGAGAGCATTGAGGTTTAGTGGATGGATAATACTTTGAACCCCGAATGAGATCCTATTGAGCAGACTTTTTACTGCTAGCCATTAGCCCAAATCACACTTAACTAAGCAGGAGATCTAGGACCTGTCACTGTAGCTTTCTAAAGCCAATATCTTCACTAGTTTTTTTCATCCTTTTTTTCTTCTATATCTCAATATATCACTCAGTTGGTTTGCTTTTTGGTCTGTTTACATGGGCAATTTTCTGTTTTGATGTTTAATTTTTTATTTAAATGAACTATTATAATGAGTAAAATCTATCTAATATAATATTTCTTTAAAATTCAGTCCAATATCATTGGCTTTTATGAAGATATGAGCCCATGGCTCATTGTTATCTAGTAGTTAATATCTAAATGGTGGCTAAGAATATGGTTGAGGTTTCCCATATCTACACTATTCAAGTTGCTCACGTCCCACAATATTATCCCTATTTGTTATACTAGTATGACTATGAGAAGGTTTTCAGAATGGTGTGTGCTATTATTAAGAAAGGTAAAAAAAATATTGAGGATGCTATTGTATTAGGCCCTACAACATATGCTAATTTCAGGGGTGTGGCAGGATTTCGCAAATGACTCAATTATGAGCTATGGGTCTCACTCATATGATTTACTTGAGTCATATGATGTAATGATCCTACCACCGATAGTTAGTTGTTGGTGATAGGGAAAGATACTTGTCTTCATCTTCGCCTTACAATAGCACTAGAACTATGCCTACATTACGGATAGTACAAGACCTTTGTCTTCTATTGGGAATGCCTATCATAAGTTTCTTCTAACTCTTCCAGTTAAACAGTATTCTTGTCATAGTAGCAAGAAAGGTCATGATAATGATAAAGAGTGTAAAGGTATTTTATATTCATTAAAGTAATAAGTAGAAAAAGTACTTAGAATTCAATATAATTTTATTTAAACTTGGACCACCAAAACTGACATATGACGAGCCCCCACAGGCACAAGGATACTGCTAACCAGTATACCACTAACTACAGGGTAACTAAGTCTACGGTCCTGTACCTACTATTTCCCAGTCATGCCTGCATGAGAACTAATTACAAGACCATCAAACAACCCATTGCCCTCTCAAGTCCAAGTCCGTAGCCCCTCTGGTATGGAGCCAACCAGCACTAAGTGTAACTGAAGCCAAACAAAAGACCAACCTGACCAGGTTCCTTGTTCAAAAAATATAAAACCACTACTACTTGATCTGAATATGGTCCTGCTAGAACCCCCTCTACAATAGAAGCCCACCCGTGTGCTCCTACTCAATAATCTGGGGAAACCCCGCCAATCATCCCAGCACACACCCCCATTCCGAAACAAAAAAAACACCTAAAAAGCCCAAACAGGTAGACGCGAGTGAAAGCCGACTTACAGGATGAGGGCGCTCTAGCTGAGCGGGTACAAACTGTCGTAGAGAATCCGGGGAGAACTACAGTAGCAGCAGAATCCAAAAACCTTGACAAAAGCAGCCTGGATAATGTAGTTCTCGAGCCATCGACACCTGGCCGAACACGTCTAAGAATTTAAGTCTCCCTCCAACTTCTCAACTCTCTCCACAGGCATCGAATCCACAGCGGATGGTGTAGCAGCCAGTTTGCGATGACGAATCGGTGAAGGGGATGACACTTCCGAGTTAGGGACAAGTAGCACAGGTAAGGTCTGGTCTTGTTTGACCTGACTCTTCTTATTTTTCTTCATCTTCCCTCTCCTGGGTGCAGGTCTAGCATCAGGGGTGGATAGGCCACTCTCATCACCACCCACTGCCACAGAGGGGATATGTTAGGAATACCAGAATCCGATACCTAGGAACCATCCTAAGTAGGGTAACCTCACTCAGAATTGGAATCTCTGGTCTCTAACACCCCCCTCCAGCTCCCTTACGGGGCCCGCACATCATCATATATATTAATCTCAGTTGTGTCCTGTGACTATATTACCACAGAATTGAAGGTGTTAGAATAACACCATATACATCGTCGCTGTCTGTCCGACCGGATCCTGTTTGCATGATATATGAGAGGGGACCTTCGGCTAGGCCTGGGAAGTAGAACGGAGTAATTCCGTCAACCACTCAGAGAGTTACTTGGCTTCAAAGACATGATACCTTTAGCATAGGCTGTAGGTAATGAGACAATTTCGCACAAAGAGATGGTATCAAATGGTAAAGGATCTCTACTAGAGACCAATACATTTACATCCACTAGAAGAGTCTAGAACTCTAAAAAACACTACCAAAAAAGCCAACGAACTTCACGGAGTGTTGCAACTGGGTTTCGGAACACGTCGTAGGCATGGGGTGATTGTCAATACTACAATGGTTACTGAAACCTACTACCCAGAGAGCAACCAAGGGTTGCCAACTGAGGGATTAATTACCAATCTGGTGGAATAGCTTCCAGCGAGTTAATAGGAAGTCATCCAAAGAAAATCTATTGGTTGGGTATGGAGTTACAAAGGATCGGAGTCAGACGACCTACGATGGTTGTAATGACGATCACCTTTGCAGATATAGCCGTGGATAAAACTAATCATTTTATCAATGGTGAAGACAATTGGAACCAACTCAGTTCGACTTAAGAACTAGGCCATAAGTCTAAAAGACTCTACTAATCGGGTTATTACTATTGGGGACAGCACACTTCCTAAGAAGAAATATCGTAATTACCGAACCGGGTGTGATGGTTTTCAGGGTCCATAGGTGTTCGCATGTTGGAAGAAAAACTCGACATCGCGAATTACTATTGAAGAAGTACATAGTTGTATGATAAATAGATGTAGTCCGCGAACACTCAAATGCGGAATATAAATATCGAAGTGCCTCCCAAGCTTTAGACATCATCAAGCAACAGAGAAGAGACCTTAATAATATAATATTGTTTTTATGATTCTACCCTATTTTACTTATTTTACTTC